AGGATCATTTTCCACTTCCTTTCATTGATCAGATGTTGGAGAGATTGACAGGACATGCTTATTACTGTTTCTTGGATGGTTATTCAGGTTACAATCAGATTGCCATCATTCCTGAGGATCAAGAGAAGACGACCTTCACTTGTCCCTATGGCACCTTTGCTTACCAAAGGATGCCCTTTGGGTTGTGTAATGCACCAGCCACATTTCAGAGATACATGATGTCGATCTTTGGTGATATGGTGGAGAGGTTTATAGAAGTCTTCATGCATGACTTCTCTGTTTTTGGTTCGTCCTTTGATCATTGTTTATCTAATCTTTCGTTTGTTTTGCAGCGATGTCAGGATACAAACTTGGTGCTCAATTGGGAAAAGTGCCACTTTATGGTCCAGGAAGGGATAGTGGTTGGTCATAGAATCTCAAAAGACGGAATAGAAGTGGATCGAGCAAAGACGGACGTGATTGAGAAGCTGCCACCACTCTCCAATGTTAAAGTAGTTCGAAGTTTCTTGGGGCATGTGGGGTTTTACAGACGGTTTATCAAGGATTTTTCTAAGATCTCTAAACCCCTTTGCAATTTATTGATTAAAGATGTTGCTTTTGATTTTAATGATGAATGCATGCATGCCTTTCAAACTCTAAAGAAATTACTTGTATCTGCACCTATTATTGCAGTTCCCGATTGGGGACTACCATTTGAATTGATGTGTGATGCTAGTTATTTTGCATTAGGAGTAGTGTTAGGACAAAGAAAAAAAAAGTGTTTAATAGGGAAAAGTAGGAAAACATAGCCTGAGAATGTATGTTTTACAATTTAGAGAATTCAATTTACAATCAATGCATGTGAATATGGAAATAGCATAATCTGTAAGTTTAATCCAAAGAGTCCTAATGAAGTCAAAACCCTACCTGTTTGTTTTAATTTGATATTACCTTGTTTTTAATCTTGCTTTATAATTTAGCTTTGAGCATTTAGCAATTTTTGTTTTAGTTTTAAGTTTAATTTTCTCCCATTAATCCAAACAAATTCGATTACTCTAACTTGAAAACAGTAGAAAACTTAGTGCTTAACAACCAATCCTTCTAGGAACGATACTCACTCATCACTTTATTACTTTGTGTGACTAGTGCACTTGCTAATTATGCATGTTGTAGTAAACAACGTATCAGTTGACTCTGTAATATTTGTTGACTACAACATCATTGTTTGCCCTAGTAGAAAATAGTAAAAGCTCCTACAGAACTGCAAGGTTAGAATGAAGGGTAGAGGCAGTTCCGCAGATTATAATGAAGGGCAAGGTTATAATGAAGGGTACGGTTAGAATGAAGGGCAGAGGTAGCTCCTGCGGAATTGCAAGGTTAGAATGATGGGTGAAGGCTAATTACGGCTGTAGTTAGCTTTAAATTCCTAATGCTCAATGTGAGGCTTTTCCATATAAATTTTGAGTTATCATTTCATGTCTATTAGCCCTTTTATATATTGAAATGGAATGGGGTTTGAGAGAATTACTTTCCTTTACATTGTAGGATTTCGGATAGGAGAGGGATTATTGAGTTTTTAGGCAAATGTGGGAATTGGGATCATCTCCTTCTTTGGACCGTATCTTGTCCATATTCGTTTCCCAGTTTAATTCATTTTCCTTTTCTCTTTGGATTCTTCAATGAAGTATAATTCTACTTCCTATTTTGTGGATTATCCCTAAAATATTTTACTTTGCACACAAGTAATATCAAATACGGGACATATGGTTTTGCCCTCAGGAAATTCGAGCACTACAAATTGCTTAAGGTTTATTTTATTTTATTTTTAATTTGAAAACCAGAAGTGAATTTATAAAATTAATCCGAATAAATGTTATGAATGATATGTTTTTTGTCATTTTTAATGGTCTGAGTATAAGTCTTAAGTTGTTTATTTGCTAAATAAAAAGAATTGAAAATGAACATTTTAACATATATGTCCATTTGATGTTAAATGTAATATTATTTAAATAATGTTTTAACTTTATGAAGTTAAAAACTTAATATGAGAAGAAAAGCATAGACTTGAAAAGGTTATTTAAGTATTAAAATTAAGTTAATATCAAATTAACTTATTAGTCAATCTAGTGATGCACCATACACAAAATTATCCATAAAGACTTTGCTTCTAAGCCAATTTCAGGTACCTTCATAAGATTTATCCTAAATCTCATTTTACATTTCATGAAAAATCTTGCCTAAAGTTTTATGTATAAAGTTTACGGAAACCTCTGTTGTGAAAATAAGTCATAAACAAAAGACCAAATCAATAGTAAAAAAAAGGTAATATTTGTTAGAGTAGTGAATGCCTCTCAAACTCAGAACCTGTCAAAAAAAAAGAATGTATAATATTTTATATATAGTTGTTCCGATTTTTCTTTACCTTAGATTTACAGCATGATTTGCGGTTGTCATCCAACACTTTGAACCCAAGTCAAGCAGCCCTGAGAGTCTATAATAAATTTAAAATTAGTTATTGCTTGACTTAGACTTGAGAAGGCCATAATATTAACAAGTTAGTCTTCAATTTTCCACATAAAATTAATTATTAGACAAAGAAGTATTCATGTTACATTAACTTGCCCCATTCAACACGTATCTGTGGAAAACTATCAAATTGTCATTAGTACTGTATATATTTTGGAAAACTATCAAATTGTCATTAATACTGTATATATTTTGGAAAACTATCAAATTGTCAATATAAAAACAGTTAAGAACTTGGTCAATATATACAATGTTCTCATTTATTTTGGAAGAAAAAAAAATGAAATGGTTTCATACCAAACGCCATGATCTTAGGTTATTCACGATGTTAACATCACTCATTTTTATTTTATTTCAAATGTTTTAGCACTAGCTAATACAATGTTCTTATGTTTACATCATTCATTCAATTTTGGAAGACAAAAACAAGTGTTTTATCTCCATTTTCAAATGGTGCGGTGCTATAATGGATACGTAATAATAGTACTCTCCATATTCATCCTTATCCTAAGTGTACCTCATCATTTAAATTTTGGGAAGCATCTTTTCTACTCAAATTATTTTTATAATTCCGAACAAAATCCTATGTAACTAACATCTTATCTTAATTCCAAAGTACAATAAAAAATAAAAAAATAAAAATCAATAAGATAGGTGATACATTAATAAATGTATTTTTAAAAATGATATTTTAATAAAATCTTAACACAAATTTGTTTTCATTATATTCTCAATTAATTAAAATATTTTGAATTAACATAATTGTTGATGTTGGATTTGGACACCAATTACTAGCACGTGTAAAATGTTAAGCGGACTTAGAAGTCACACGTGATATGGGGATATCAAACTCCCCATATCAAATTAATTAAGGGGTGAGGAGCAATATTTAAAGTGGTTCGGATGTTCAAAAGTGAATCTTACGTCCACTACTATTATATTAATAAAGGTGTAAAATCAAGTCATGTGCAACGAGCTAAGTTACAGTTTAGAGAGAATACAAAGAGAGAGAGAGAGAATGAGCTATTTTAGAGTAAAATTAGCCAATCCCTCAAATGAGAGGGAAGTGTTCTATTTATAGTGGGAGAGTTCAAGATAATGACTATACAATCTGCAAGTGGATAGGTATCGTGCAAATCTTTCTTTTTGTCTCATTGGTTACCTGTTCAAGGGATTTCCTTGACTTGTGTAGGGTTTGGATACGTGAGCGATCTCTAACTGCTTGCAAGCTTGGCAATCACCTACTACGCTGACAGAAACCATGCCACTTGCGTTATTGCGCAACGTGGATGTACCTGGACGGCACATAACCTTTCTGAGCTCTGATTGGCCCTTGCTGACGAGGCTTCACGTCAGCCCTACCTTTTTAAGATAACAATAATATGATTGTGTTTAACATATATAAGATTAAAGGGTGTGGGAGCCTCTCCCAATTACTATTAATTTTCTTTTATCGAGTATGCTGGTTGAATATAATATTAATATTTGCGTCCAACTATAAAAGACATATTATTTGTGAGGACAACAAGAATAATATGGGCTGTTCGGAGCATGTTTCTTGAGCAAGAAAGGTGATAAATCCTATGCATTTATTAACAAATTATATATTTATATGTCAAAAGACCTAACAACACTAAAGTTCACATGCATACGGCTAATATATATATATATATATTACTGTGATATTATAAAATTGAGAAACTCTATAATATTACTGTGATATTATTGACCTAGAGATGCATACATGTCAAGTAGTTTCATATTTAATAGTTGTTAATCAAAATTAATTTAAAACTAGTGAAGAAAAAAAATTCAAAGATAGCATAAATACATACGGAAAGAAATCTTGAATACAAGGAAAGATGGTAGTGGAGGATGTGACACCTGTTATATTGTAAATTTTTTTCCATAAAATCCGGTCACTCTAGTGGCGTCTTGAGAAGCAATGGAGCTCAAGGAGACCATACTTTTAAAGGAAGCAAAATCACGTGCATATACATAATTACATATGTAAGAAGTAATGGGTGGCTCTGTATACACTGATGTTATTTAATAAAAATTTGTAGATTCAAATAAGTTCATATGGGAACTCTTTTTTTTTTTTTAAATTTATGTCTCAAACAAAGCTAACAGAAGACTCTAGGAACCATCGAGTTTATAAGAATCCTTCCAATTGTAATTGTTAATTTGTTTGAGTGAAATTTATTTCTATTTTAATTGTTTCTTTATAAATAGTTATTTCCCCTTACTTCTTGGTACTTTATTTTTTCACTAACCCTTTTAAACGCAATATGTATTAATTGACGAATTGTCGAGAAGGTGACATTCGAAACCTAAGACTTTTCAAAGAACTCAAAGACAAGCACTTAATGCTTTGAATAATTCAATCAAGTGGCCAGGTATGATTTTTTTTTTCTTCGTGGTTCCATTGTGAATGATTTAATTATGGCATGATTCCGGAAAATTTTTTTCTCTATAAAAGGCAGCTAAGAATTGGTGTTTTAATATTGCAGTGCTTAATTTACAGTTTCTATAAGCCTATTATTCTTTTCTCTCTTTCTCCATGGCTACTTTCCATTCATCTGTCAAGAAACCTTCAATGGTTTCTGCCATGTTACTACTTGGTCTGCTAATGGCTGGTCTAGACTCAACAGGTCTCTAGCTATTTCATTCCAAATTACCCGCTTCCTGGCTAACCTATGAATTTGATATTTCATATTTTCATGCATTTAAAATTTTTGTTTCTCACGTGGTTGAGTACAAATGTCGATATGAATTGTGAGACACAACATTTTGCTGCATTAAATTAAACAACATTGACTTGCATAATTTGTTGAAAATTTGAATGGGTACCAGAGAATTACCCAAAAAAAAAAAAAATTACAGTGCCATGTTGACCTTAACCGTTAACACAAATAGTTAAAAGGAAGTTGATATGCATATTACAGATTCCTTTTTTTATTTACTATATATGTTGTTATCCTATTAATTAGTACAAGGATTAATTCATTAGCTTAATAATTTATACCTGTATGGAAGTGTTAATTTATAATAATTGGAATCTTTTCTAATATGTTTTTTGGTGGTGATTCTGCGATGCAGCTGCTCAAATAGGTGTTTGTTATGGAATGCTCGGCAACAATTTACCGTCAAAACCAGAAGTCATCGCTCTCTTCAACCAGAACAACATCCGAAGAATGAGAATCTATGATCCAAACAGAGAGACTCTCGAAGCCCTTAGAGGCTCCAACATTGAGCTCATGCTAGGCCTCCCAAACACTGACCTTCAAAGAATGGCTTCCAATCAAGGTGAAGCAAACACCTGGGTACAAAACAATGTCAAAAACTACGCCGCCAACGTCAAATTCAAATACATCGCTGTTGGAAATGAAGTAAAACCCGGCGATAGTTTCGCTCAGTTTCTTGTTCCAGCCATGCAAAACATCCACAACGCCATTGTTGCAGCTGGCCTTGGAGGCCAAATCAAAGTCTCCACTGCCATTGAAACTGGAGCCCTTGGAGAATCCTTCCCTCCATCAAAAGGATCCTTCAAGCAAGACTATCGACCAATTCTTGATCCAATCATTCGTTTCCTGAATGCCAACCCAGCCCCATTACTGGTCAATTTGTACCCCTATTTCAGTTACGCTGGAAACCCCCAACAAATCAATCTGGATTATGCACTTTTCAGGTCACCAGGAGTCGTGGTTTCGGATCCTCCACATGGGTATCGTAACCTGTTTGATGCCATCCTCGATGCTGTTTACGCCGCACTTGAGAAAACTGGTGGAGGCTCCCTTGAAATTGTGATATCGGAGAGTGGGTGGCCGTCGGCTGCTGGGGTTCAAACGACTATAGATAACGCAAAGACTTACAACCAGAATTTGATTAACCATGTTAAGGGAGGAACGCCCAGGAAGCCTGGAAAGGCAATAGAGACTTATTTGTTCGCCATGTTTGATGAAAATAACAAGAATCCGGAATTGGAGAAACATTGGGGACTCTTTTCTCCTAACAGGCAGCCAAAGTATCCAATTAATTTTAACTAGTTGGATTTATAGACAACAAAATCAGTAAGGAATAAGCCATATGTGGCATGTGCGTCTTTCTAAATACACCTTGTGTACTTGAGAAGAATAGGAATAATTGCATCTCTCCTTGCCCCAGAAACAAAAAAAAAAAAAAGGAGGGCTAATTCGTTGAATTTTGTTCTTGTAACATGTAACATGTTTAAAGGCAATATGAACCAGTAGAAATTACTTTTATATGTTAATCTCCTTTTCTAATTTCAGCTCATAATCATCATAATTAAACTGGTATTACAAGTTCACAGAAATATGATATATAAAAGGGTATTACAAGTTCACAAAAATATGAATTTACATTCTTTAAGATGAATATTTTATCTTTTCATAGTATCACAAATCCTAATATAGTATTAGATCACACAAATGATATAATGGTAGCAATGAAATACACGTAGCTTCATATTCATCTTATCCACTACTTGTCGGCAGTGGCATATCTATAATTTCAAATTGTAGGTCTCTATCATCTTGTTGTCGGTCCAGTTTAATTTCTGAGTTATAAATTTCTCTTTACGCGCTTATTATAGTTAACATTCAAATTGTTGACCTTATTTAGATCACATTGTTGCTAATTTTTTTTAATCTAATTATGGGATTATAGAGAATAAAAAATTTATTTCATTGTCAAGTTTAATTACTTGTTGTAACTCTATTGAAAGAAAAAAGGAATGAGAAAATGAAAGAGATTCAATTACTGAATAAAGAATGTAATGAAATATGATTCCATTGTTTATTATAAGATGGAATATTGAAGGAATATAATGATATGTGTAATATGTGGACAAAACCACCCTGAAAATTAAAATATTCAATTTAAGTTAAAAATTATGATTGTATTTTGTAAATAAAAACTAATTCTATAAATAATTATAATAAAATTTATAATTATATTTTAAATTTCTTTAATTTTTTTTAACTTTTAACAATATATATTCTAATTCAAAATTTCAAAATTCAATGGTCGGTCAATGGTAGTTAATGCCAATCAATGACTAGTCAATGGTGCTGAACGACGGTCAACAAATGTCAACATTTAAAAATGCTTATTTTAATAATCACTGAATTATAAATAAAATAGAGTAAAAAAAAAAAAGGTAATTTCTGTTGGATGTGAATTTTCCATTAAGCTCGGAGAAGTCAGAAGCCCGTAAGGATTTAGTTCGACCTAAAATCAATTCGACTCAGCACTAGTCGAACCCAACATAAGCTCATCGAGATATAGCTCGACCCAGCACAAGCTAGTCATAATAGCACCTACCATCCTAGCCATCATGACTTCACCTCACATGCTAGTGTGCATGACAGAGTAGGCTTGCAAGCAACTGATCTTCAGACTCATCTGCTTGAGGTAAGGCTGAACAAAGGTCGCAGTCAAAATACTCCTCATGATGAGGACTTAGATTGGGTTCAGAAAATGCTCGATGATCTAAGAGCCTATTAAAATAATTCGATTGAAGAAATAGTAAATTCTCCATTCATGGAGGAAGTTCATTGGGCCCCACTTTCTCAGGGATTTAGGGAGCTTGAAAACAAGTTCGATGGGAAAGGGGATTCCATAGACCACCTCGATTCCTTCAACGACCTGATGGAGCTACATCAGATCTTCAACCTGGCAAAGTGTCACTCTTTCGCGATCACTTTAGTAAGAGATTCCAAGAGGTGGAACAAAAGGCTGAAGGTGAACTCAATCCAATCGTGGCAGTAGTTCTCCTTGCTCTATCTCCAACAATTCCAAGCAAGGAGACAGTTCGTCATGTCGTTTAGTTATCTGAGTAAAATTCATCAAGGGAAAGAATAAACTTTGACTTGTATTTAATGAGGTTTCAGCTCGTCGTCTATCAAGTTTCTGGAGAGTACCAGGCTAAAGAGGACAAAATGACGTCCTATCTCCAAAAGGTAAAATTTGAGCTTGAGCATTTCAAAGCTTACTCAGTTCTACAGATTCCAAGGGAAAAGAATTCAATGGCCGATATTCTAGCTCGCCTGGCTTCAATAATAAGCAAAGAAACAATTAATTCTATCCCTATCAAATTCCTCCCAAGTCCGAGCATCCTCGCATCACAAGAAGCAGTTTTGGTAACAAGGCAAAGGTATAGCTGGACAGATTCAATAGCAGCATCCTTGAGAGATGGAACAGTGCCTTAGGGAAGTGATAAAAGTTATGTGTATAAAGTTAGGGGTATATGTGTAAATGTAAGGTAGTGAAAATATATATAGGGTGTAATATTATTTTATTTGATTATTGAATAAACTACAGTAGAATATTTTATGACATGGTATCAGAGCACCGGTCTTAGGGTTTTGTTCTGGTGGCCGACAACACTGTTCACGCAACATTGTTCACGCGATACTGTTCACAAGACACTGTTCATTGTTGTTACTTTTTTTTACGACTAAGTATGTCGTGTCTCCTGTTTTTCGATTATGGTTTTCGGTTGGTGATCTGTTTTTATTATTCTGTAGTTTCCAGTTATTGTGTTCCTTTTTTATGTTTATTTGATGATTGTTCTGTTTGTGGTGTTGGATTTGATCTGTTGTGAATTTGTTGTGAATTGGTGATTTGGGTTTGCTAGATATTGGTGATTAGAGGTGATCTTGTCTGTGAGCTTAGTAGAGAATCATTGTTGGTGTGATTAAGCTATGGTAGTGGAAGGTAAACAAGTGGTGACTGAAATTGTAGTCTACTCATCTGCAAAGATTACTAATAGGAAGTTACTGGGAAAGCAGAATTATGCTCAATAGAGACGAACTATTAGTAGATATGTTTCTAGCATTGACTTGGGGGATCATTTGACTGAGGATCCACCCACGGATTCACTTCCACAAATAGAGACTGATCAGCAACCAGAGGGTAGTGATAAGAAATTAGAGCGTGTTAGGAGAATTCGAAAGAAATGGCTCATAGAGGAAGATAAATTGTTTAATCAGATCTAGAATACTCTAGATTCCATAGTGGATGATGGTACTAATCATTGTGATACAGTTATGGGAGTATCTAGAGTTTTTGTATGCTAGTAAACAAGACTTGTCTCATGTTCATGAGCTGTTATTGCGGATTTATCGAGCAAATATGCAAGAGAAGACATTACTTGAATACTATACAGAGGTGAAGCAAGCCTTTCAAGGAAAAACAAGCTATATTCCCTGTGACTGCAGATGTTGTACAAATGAAAGAACAAGAAGAGCAAATGGTGGTGTAGTGTTTTCTGGCTGGGCTGAGACCAGAATATGAGATAGTTCAGACATAACTCCTCACGAATGACAAACTTCCTTCTCTAATAGAGGTTTAAGCTCATCTTCTTCAGGTTAGTAAAGGGGAAGATAGAGGTGCATCTAAAGACAGGGAGACTCTTCAGAATTTTGCTCCAGATCATGCGGCTCTTGCTAGCATGAAGTCTAATAGTACTGAAGGCAACAAAGGAGCTAGTCGGGATATCGGAGGTACTCGTGGCAATGGTAATGGTCCTTGTACTTGCTTCCATTGTGGTGCTGAAGGTCATGTCTAAAGGAATTGTTGGAAGTTACATGGAAAGCCTCCAACTATGTCGAGCAATCAGAAATATGCTCATGTTGTCGCTCAAGATGGTATTTTACCTACTCCTTCACAGGTTACTATATCTGCAGATGAGTATGCTCGCCTCACTTAGCTTGCTAGCCCCCAGTCATCCATTCCACCAACTACTACTACATAACTCAGCTAGGTAATCCAACAGCTTGTGTATCTACTTCTAGTTGTAACTGGGTCATTGATTCTGGTGTTACGCACCATATGATAGGTGATACAGGTATTCTCTCCTTATTTACACCTTCTTCTGATTTGTCTTTTGTTACTTTAGCTAACGGGTTTTCTGTATCGATTATGAGTTGTGATATTGCTAATCCCACCAAATCTATTTCTCTCTCCTTTGTTTTGTGTCTTCCTCACTTTCCCTTTAATCTTTTATCTGTTAGTCAAATCACTACTACATTTAATTGTGGTGTTTTTTTTTTTCCCTACTTATTGTATCTTTCAGGATCTTAGGACGACGTAGATTATTGGTAGGGGTCTTGTCTCAGGTGGCTTGTACGTGCTTGATGACATCTCTACTCCAGTGCCACCACATGTTGTATGTACTAGTGATTTGTCCTCCTCTCTCATCCATGGTCGTTTTGGTCATCCTTCTCTTCCAATCCTGAAAAAGTTATGTCCTAGTTTATAGTCAATGTCACAGCTTAACTGTGAAGCATCTCAATTTGGGAAACACCATCGAGTGCCTTTTAATCTTAGAAAAAATAAATGAGCTATTGCTCATTTTGATGCTATACATTATGACATTTGGGGTCCTTGTCTCGTTTTATCTAAATCTGGTTATAAATATTTTGTTATTTTTGTGGATGATTTTTCACATGTTCCATGGCTATATTTTATGAAAAATCGTTCTGACATTTAGGGTCCTTATTCCGTTTTAGCTAATGGGTCCTCAACAACCGACTCAAGTCGGTCCTTCAAAGCAGCAGACTCTCTTTCAAACTCAACTAGCCGGACCTGGGAATCCTCCAGTTGGGCTCTAGCATCCTCCAGCTTAGCCTTTATCTCATTCAACTTGCCTTTCCATTCTTTCTCCACCGCCTGAGCTTTGGCCTTCTGTTTACAGAGAGTCGCATTCATGCTGACAAGTTCTTGATTTTGATTCTCTTGAGCAGTTATAATCTTCTTCAGATACAAACTTTGCCACAAAACCTGATCAACCAAGATGACTGGTGTGCTGTTCTAGGCAACCAAAATTAAAACCTAAAAACATATGTAGTAGTGTGAGTAAGGATTGTTCCCACGGAAAGTGTCTAACCGAATTTTATGTTATGTGAACAAAGCTGAGGGGGTTTGAGTAAAACGGAAACAATTTCATTTAAAAAACAATTCAAATTAAATTATCGAAATCAATCAAAATAATGAACCTTGGTCTAAGTCAACATCCACCATCGGAATCTTACAACTGATCATCGATCCAAGTATAAATCAATTTTTACTTTGAGTATTCACCATTGGA